GATTCCCGACATGGGTACAATGTGTGAAGCCCATTTCTGGTGTCCCCCGCCATTATATTGCTGGAATATTGCTAAAAGCGGCGTAAAACCATACTCACTCACTCACTGTTTCACCAGGTCTTGGGCAGATCAGACTTCATTATACCGTGCCACGCGTTTTATGCAATATGATACTGGACAGAGCTACTATAGTTTTCTCTTATATTATTATTATCGCCAGAATTCCTCACAGTCATAGCACATACAAATGTCTCTAGGGGATTGAAATGATAAATTTGACAGTTCATATCTTCACATGCACTCTTTTATGTAAATAAGACCACCCTGAGTCAAAGTTGTTCTCGGGAAACGTCATAGTATGGTGAGTGAATAAGCGAATTGTGGATGTTGTTTGCAACAGTAAGCAATGCTCCACCTCTATCCCAGCAGCCACGCTAGCCAGCTGAAAGTATGAGCAACCATTCCCGGTCCAATAATTGGTGATTGTACCTCACATGTGAAGTACTGGGGACCTATACCAACCCGTAACAGAATTGAAACCATTGCAGTTGAGCTAAATCAAAATTTTAATCAACGTATTTAACAATGTGACTTACAGCAAACATCAGACGACATCGATCCACAAATAATCAATAATACATGTGCTTAAATACACACTTGTCAGTTAAACGTAGTTATGATCAGAGTGCTGCTGTATGCGCACGTAAATGTCCGTAAGTTGAGTGTAACCGAATAAACGACATTGACGCAAGACGTTGTGCCATCACTGTATTAATCCGATCTAAAAGTTGTCTTGGGTACTCCTTGATTCGTTAAATGCATCCAGCTAAAGGACCGAACAGCAAATCAGACACAGTAATATGATGGTCGTTCAGGCTATAGTTAGTTCGCTGTATGTGTAATGTACAAGTGAAACACTAGTGACATGTACCCACTGCCTCGGAGACGAGTGAATAAATGTTGTTTAATGCCTCTGTTATCATAGTCCAGCTAAATCACGGCGATCTGCAAATCGTGTATCAGATACGTCAGATACGGATACCTTGTGGGAAGTGGATTTGTTTTACTCCAGATACCATTGATGTGTTTTTGTGTGCGGGGTGCCCATATGGACAGGTGTATGTCTTCCCCCTTGCTGACTTGTATACTGAACCAAATTAAAAACTTCACAATCCTCAAATTGTAACATTTTGACCAGTTATCATTGTGGGCCCTTATTGTGTATTTAAACAGTAATGGCCACATATTGTCGTCAAATAACACCCGTTTTGTGCAGGTGAATCGATCAAAATCATGTGCACAGCACTATAATGGCAAAAGTGTTTTTTCAAGTGCAACTGGTCACGTGGACATAATACCGCACGTGTTTTCAGCCATACTTGTTAGCAGTCATTAATAAAAAAAGAAAAACACAAGAAAACAAAAGTCTCTACGGCCATTTGCCATGCCACGCCTTTCAAATGTGCAACGTGAACGTGCCATCGGCATGTTGCAGACGGGAACGTCCGTAGCTGAAGTCGCGAGGGTTGTAGTCGACGGACTGTTTATGATTTACAGACGCGTCTACAGCAAACAGGTACCACCGATGATCGCCGTCGGCCAGGTCCACCACAGGTGACGTCACATGCAGAGGATCTTCAGATTGTCTTACGTCACCTCCGTTACCGATTTTTGACGGCTACATCAACCAGATATGAACTGTTTAGGGGTAGACTGAGTGCGCAAACTATTCGAAACCGTCTGAGAACTGCTCGCCTTCAAGCACGACGGCCATACTGCGGGCAGATTCTGACTCAATTACACAGACGTCAACAGCGACACTTACGATGGAATCAAGTCGTCTTCAGTGATGAATCCCGATTTAATCTTCGATTTGCTGATGGTAGGGCGAGGGTGTTGAGGCGCCGTCATGAACGTTACGCCCAGTGTTGTGTACAGGAAGTTGACAGATTTCGAGGCGGATGTGTCATGGTGTGGGGTGCTTTCTGTGGCAATGCACGTTCCAGGCTTCTTGTCATCCGTGGCAACTTCAACGCTGCTGCTTACCGCGACCAGGTACTGGCACCAGAACTTCTGCCTTTTATGGCAGCACATGGACCCGGTTTGATCTTCCAACACGACAATGCCAGACCCCACACAGCAATTTTTACAAGGAATTTCCTTCAGAATGCGGGGTCAACGTCATAGACTGGCCGTCAAGGTCTCCCAACCTCAATCCCATCGAAAACGTCTGGGATGCTCTTGGCAGAAGTTTGCGCACTCTCCAGAACCAACCACAGAATTTGCAAGATCTTGGCACCATTTTGCAGAACGATGGCGTCGTCTTCCCAATCATGTGTTCACAAGCATCACAAGGTCCATGCGGAGGCGTTGTGTGGCAGTTGTCAACGCACATGGTGGCCATACACCCTACTGAACTTGGTACTTATGATTAAAACTGTTGATGTTATTACCGAATACCGTAGGTGCTTGGAACAAATTATGGTTACCACCGTTAATTAAAATCCTTCTTTGGACATTAATGATTAAAAATTACCTTCTCTGATACATTTGTCCGTTGTATATCATATATGGGATTACTTTTAAAAATGTGAAGTTTTTAATTTGACTCAGTATATATCTCCTTTTCATTGTGTTGATCAGCCTAGTCTCAGCAATCATATCTTGTTACCTTAAAGAGAATTGAGTGCAAGGTATTCTCTGTGTGAGACCACGAACTGATTATGTCTGGAAGTTTATGTCTGGGAATCGAAACCACGACTGGTATATTAAGTCTATTAAGGGACACAACTCTGCTTACCGTCTTCCAGCGTCTTAGATTTGAGCAGTTCCAGCTGTTGTTTGTTGTTTAACTCCGCACTCAGCAACATTCCATATATATGACGGTGGTCTGAAATATAATCGGGTCTGGACCAGACAATCCAGTGATTGACATCATGAACATCGAACCACGCAATTGGGATACGACGACATGCATCAAACCAAGTCAGCGAGCCTGACCACCCGATCCCGTTAGTCGCCTCTTACGACAAGCATAGTCAACTTTTATGGCAAGTATGGGTTGTTGAAGACCTATTCTATCCCGGATCTTCACGGGTCAGTTCTAGCTGTATTGTCATTTAATGTCAGATTGTCGTATCTTCCCTGCATATATGTTTTGCTTGTGTTTAATGTTACAGTAGATGTGTCAATATATAACGAGATCTCCCGAGTGCGAGACTTGATTCAAGATGGTGGCGTCCAGCAAGTGATAACGTTCTATGTCGCCAGGGTAACTTGTTTACTGGTTAGTAATCTTCTGTGTGATTGTATATGCTACGTATGTGATGTAGATTGCTTTGGGAAGGACCGTTAGACTTTTGTCTTGATTAAAGTGCTACTGTGTGCGCACGTAAATGTCTTCAAGTTGAGTGTAACCGAAAAAACGACATCGACACAAGACATTCTACCATCACTGAATTATTCCGGTCTCACGCTTGTTTTGGGTACAACCTTACTCGTTAAATGCATCCAACTAAGGCAGACACACTAATATGTTGGTAGTTCAGGCGGTGTTTCGCTGCTTTTGTAATTCGCAAGAGAAGCACTGGTAAAATGATTACCGACTATCCTTTATAATCAGATTAAGTAAGTCAATGTTGCTTTATGGTGCAGAAAACAATGGTCCAGATGTACACAGCGGAATCTCGTAATTGATTCCTGGTCTGGACAACCAGTGTTTGAAAGCACAGGCTAGCATCTACGCTGTCAGGTACCTCACAGATTGTTACCATCTGAACCTATGTGTATGTGGTCCTTTCGGCGTGACAAAGATATGCACCCACTGTCTCATTGTTCCTAGGGCGAATAGATTGATGACCAAGTGATGATAGCTTCCGAGTACGGACATTACTCAGACAAAGATACAGGAGACTGTTGTATGATTGTTGTTTAACGCCACAGTCAGCACCTTTGTCATGTGATATGTTCGGTATTGAAACATATATATGTCAGTCTCTCCATTGCTGTCTTGTATGTCTTCTTTATGTCGTGTCTCAGCAATAATATCACCGCGGCCTTCGGTGATTAATTCCTGTCCAGACAAACCAGTGTTTACGTACATGTAACTGTAACCATTCGAACCGGAAGTTCACATTTACACACACTGTTATATAGCAGTGCATTTTATTGTTTGACAGTGATTGAAGCTGTTACATTGTTTCTGTTGGGGTTCGGTAGACGCCCATTGCATTGTGTTTGGACAGTGATCAGTCGAACTTTTAAGTAGGTAGGTCGGTTATATATAAGTGAGTGAGTGAGTGAGTGAGTTGGATTCAACGCTTGTTTTAACAGTATTCCAGTTATATCACGGTGTGTCAGCTTAATGTGGGAGGAAAGCTCGAAGTGATGCATGTCTCAGACGTTTACCACTTCGGTGAAACCCAGGAGCACGGGTATGGTGCTGACAAACCTAGAATCATAATCGGGGCGAACCGGGATTCGAACCCACAATCATAGGTTTCTGGCGTGCCCAAGGGGCGCAACTCTGCACAGCGAATCGGGGCGCCTTAGACGACTGGGGCACCAGGTTGTATATAAGTATACAAGGGCGAATTTAGGCATCTCAGGATTGCTTATCATACCTGATTCCCTGCCTAGTCCATCTCGGAAGCTTGACCACTATCGCCGTTTGGTGAATATATATTATTATCACCGACTTTTGCTGTCCTTGAATATTGTACTACCACGCTATTGTGACCGTCAGTGTCATTGCTGTGCAGTACTTCGTATTGATTTGGAAACCTAGTTAATTTTGTGATACATTTGTTGATTGTATACCAATTGTTGGTTGTTTGTTGATTTCACACTTTCACATTCAAGTTCTATTACGTACACATATTGTTTCAATTTGGGAATCTAACACACTAACACACGAACACACAGACACGTACGTTGCTATACAAGTGCAATCATCATTTAACGCGCTATTAAAACCCAGAAAATAGAAAATAGAACATGACTCTTGCAAATAACTTTTATTTGGGGGATATTCTTCAATCACATAGGTAAATCCATACATCCGCACAATCCAACAAAACTTATACCATGCACATATTGACTGATCTGCTGCCAAAGTGTCTAAAGGGTTGATGACATTTTCTAATCGTCAGTGTTCCTCTTGGGGAGGCTCACGTCATCAGTAAACGTCATCAGCTGGGCCTAAATGTATGTTGGAGATTTTTCCCTGTGAGTCAGTTTGCAGCAGCTACATTTCTTAATTCAAACATTTTATAAATCACATCCAGTGTGGAAATATAGCTTGTTCTTTCAACACTGTACACTTAACAGAGGCTATCTATTGTTCACTAATCTTGCAATTACGATTGAAACAAAACTGCAAAGGCAAGTAAGAAGAGTACGTTTGAGATTTTTCCCCTTTAGTCAGTCTGCAGCAGCTTCATTTTTAAATTCAAAATATATACAAATTAAATCTAATAAGTAAACAGTAATATACGATAACTTGATCTAACACTGCACACAATATTAAGAGACTTGAAAATGTCATCATATATTTTTCACTAAAAATACATTTATATTCTTGCAATGACGATTAGAACAATCCCGCAAAGATTCCTTCATAATTTTACGTTTTCATCTATCTGGAGTTTAAAGCATGACGTTCATACAGATTAATTAATTTGACAGTTCATAAGCGACGACACTCGATGGACGTTTGGACAGCAGGCATTCTGTTCTGGGTCGGTCAAAGTCGGAATGCAGTAATGACGAAGGGAAGAAAGGAAGCTATCGCACTGTACAATCCCAGTGAAGAAGCTCCGGAACCTACACAAAAATGAACTATTTATACAAGATACATTGTGTTGACAATGGCGCGTATGTAGTTTTAATGCCCTCAGACAACGATGTAATGTATACCATATTTGTCAGCATATTTGGATAAATATAAAGACATTCACTATACCCAGTGATGTTACATAGATGTTTTTTTCAGCGATTAGATTCTGAGATTCTTAGATTCGAGTATTTACATGCCACTTTGATGTTGCTGTATTAATACTGATTACGGACGACAACGAAATTCACTCACTCACTCACTTGGCATAAGGTATCATTATTATTATTATTATTAATATATATATAGTGAGTTGTTCCTCATAGATGAACGCGATGGCCGAACGATAGCATCTCAAAGCGGAAGAGATATGACAATCGGTATTGAGAGAAAAAGTACATGTGCGGGAAATACCCACCTGTGCATAAAATGGACTTGTCCGACATTGGCGAGGTCGGATTCTATAGAGGGAGTCATCATTATAATTGATTAAAATACGGATATAATTTTTAAAGCTTGTACATTTTGTTATCACCCTTAAGAGGCTGTACATAATGTTGATATCTCATGTAAGAAGTAAACGATTCGTGGTCGTTGTTTATCGTACAATATAACACTGCTGCGGCCCTCGTGGTGTATTCTCCCTTCAGTGATATATTGTACAACAAACAACGACCACGAGTCGTTTATTTCTTAAATAACAATACTGAATTTATGGTTATAAAGTTAGGTCAAAATGTATCCTACGTCGCCACGTGACGTTAATATTTCTATTGATCTATAAAGTAAAACATCAGTGCACTCCAAAAGACTGGCGACACTCTTACTGATGAATTCTTTTTATTAATTTGTACTTTGTATAAATGATGGACATGTTTTTCCTCCGGTTTTTAAATCCATTACACCACAGAAATATAATATGTTGGTTGAGATTTCACTTTTTCGTACATATACAAAAGCTTGAAAAGGTTCAGTCGAAGTGCATCTTGGCGCCATTCAGCACTCAAACAATTTCTTTCAAGCTTCGACATAATTATCTAGTTCAAAACGCTTTTTTGTTAATGAAGATAAACAGTTATATTATGTAATAAATAAAAATGCATGTGATTCCACTGCATAACTTTAGATAACCAAGCAATACTTTTTGCGGTCATGTTCCTTTGAACCAAAATATGCATGCCACGCCCAATAGCGGTATACTGTTTTCTGATTGGCCGATAATAGGACGGTCGGGATTTAGTCTTATTGCCCTGAATGATGTCAGTGAATTTGTATTGTTGCCAACCGTTTTTTGCGATTAAATTGGCAATATGTGAAGTTCTTATGGTTATTTTACTTATTTATTTATTTATTTATTTATTAGAATTGACTTGTGAAGTCCCGCCCTTTTCGATTGCAGCTTTTGTAGAGGTTTGACAATTATTTCATTGTCGAGTGTTAGATAATGACGGTTATTGCAAAAGAACTCGACCGAATACACACTGATGGATAATTCATCCTGCAGATAATATGTGCAAACGTGAAGCTTTGGATCTAGCAATAAGTACATTGCACGGTACAGCTGCTAATACTTACTGCATTTCGAATCCGATCTCCCCTTCACGCTGACAACGATCACAGACGCTTTGGGTCCAGTATCACATGCTGCGTCAGCTGCTTTGTTGAGACATTCAGTATAGTTCTTCAGTGATCTAAAACAACGGGTAGGCTGTGACACGACCATGTCTTATAATCTGTAGATCTTCTTTTATTATTCTAACGATAATGTAACAAAATGAAACATTTTTACACAAACTATGATACGCACGTTATTATTATATGAATATATTTGTTTCAATGATTTCAATTTTAAATCAAAGAAGGGAATATCACCATAAGAAGTTTACCCGCATTCCTTATCAACAGTTGGATCACGTCCCCAAAATTCTTTTAGGCATGTGCAGGGTGGTGCAAAGTCCGTCGCTGAAATTCAATTGGAATCAACAGTATGTCTGTCTGATTCAACATTGTCAAACTACTAATCGAAACGGATATATAAAGAAAGAACAATTTCTGAAAACTCAGTGCCTTTTGGCCAATTAGACAATTGTATACCCATTTTCACCTTCACCAAGGCAATGCAAGTTGCATTTCAGCCAAATGGTGAAAACTGAACGCATGCTTTGTGCTTTTACCTGAATGGTCAGATGTCACTATGCATCAAAGCTAGACCAATTGTATCTTGTTAGAAATAATCGATTTTGTGAAAACATACTGATAGTAATAGTATATATTTATTATGATAACTTGTTTTAGGAAAAAGACACTTATCATCACATTATTGATAAGTATTATTAGCTACTATGTTATATCTTGTCGTGGTAGAAAGGACATTATGTGTTATTTTGTGAGCAAGTGTCATCTGTACATTAGAAAAATACATTTTAATGTGAACTGAACGCGCAGTTATTTATATCCGTATTGATAATCAATTTATTTAAAGGCAGTTAATTTTGCCTTTGAAAATCTTTCATAGGCAGTATATTACATGATGTGTAGTTATTTGTATAATGAAACCATTCAGAATGATTACTTGATGTGATTGCAGTCACTTCAAGGTAACATTATGGGAAAATCGATCGTTTCCATTGTATTAAAAATGCATTACAGCTAATTATATATTGGATGGTACCAAGGCCTGAACTACCGTTGTGTTTGTTATGATACATTAAAAAAATACGAATTTGAATTCACTGAAAATGTGATATTGTCATGAGCACACCTTTAGCTGGATTAATTCATCATCTCATCAATATAAAAATAAAATAAATTTCTCAAAATAATAAAACAAAAGAAGAGGCACAAAAACGATAGGGAACTTTGGCTTACTGCAAGTAGAGGCTTTTATTTTCTTGGCATCGTCTTTTAAAAGTGTGCATCCATCTTTTGGTCCCGCAGCAGTTTCGAGGCAATTCAGGTACTTTTTCAAATCTCTGCAAAATATGAATTATACATGTTTATTTCGTGTACATTTAGATGAAACGGTACTATCATGATAATAGGCATTGTGTAACCATCACGGAATGTGTCAATGGTATTTTTTTTTAAATATCCCCGCCAGATAGCAGTCTGCAAATAGTCTGGTTCAGCCTCACGATAATAATTGCATGGATACAGAACAAACTACTCATTTTTGCTGTTTCACTGTTATTGAACATGTAAGATTTATCTCATAGTGTTGTATGACAGTGTAATTTATTGTTAAACAATGTTCCAATTATATTACATTGTTTCTTATGGGATTCAGTAGAAGTTCACCGCATTGTGTTTTGACAAAGATTAGTTGTCAGGAATGTAGTACTATCTAATGTAGTGGTATAGAAGTTAGATAGTTAGATTATTTTGGTGTCAAGTGTAATCTGGAATCTACCAGAATAGCTAGACTAATCCAGTATTGTAAAGAATCTTCTACAAGGTATTTAGACTCTATATAAGGGGGCAAGAGCGTGCCTCTCTTATCTTACGTTAGATCAAGATTAGCGGTTGTGGGAAGATTATTGTTTTCATCCTGGGCATCCAGCCTAGGCCTTTTCGAAGCTTGACAACTGTTGCTGCTTGGTAAATATTATTATCACTTACGATTTGCTATCATGACCACTACTCCCATTGAATATTGTACTACCACTCTATTGTGAACTGCCATTGTAAATACTTTGCAGCAATTTGTATTGAAACTAGCTCCTTTTATAATGCAAATGTTGATTGTATACCATAACTTTGTTGTTCGTTTGTTTCACACATAATTCTTTTATGTAATATATTTCTGTGTTGACTTATTCTTTCAATTTGGTCGACACGTAACGATAGGCAGATACAGAGGAATGTTGGGCACACCCTCTTTAGTTTTCTGTTCATCTGATGGAGGATTTCACACGATGGGTTTTAGAGTATTAAGATGAAATTTACTTACGCACATTCATTGCCTGCAGCTGGCATATAGTCAGTGGTGCAGCCAGCACAGGCAACACCAGGGTCAGCAGCAACCTGCATTCCCATAAGTTTTGCTGAGAAGATGCCTGAAAAAACATATGCACGTAAATCACATCCTCAATACATTGCATGCTCTTTCACATATTACTTTCTTAATTTTTAAAGCCTTGATGACCATAAACATTACGATTAATATCAATAATAAATTTAAAACATTAGGACTTTTCGTTTTAGGATGGGACTGTACCTGGACTGGAAGCGGCTTTCGAATGATACTGTTAGTAAGCACTGACTGATTCAGAGAACATTCAGAAACAACATATAAAATGTTATGTATATATGTAGAGCTAAAGTGTTCCGTATTTAAAGGTACGGGTCCTTTTAGGTCACAGAGTATGTGTTGCTTTCACACATAATGAGTCAGCAAGGTTTGTGGTAGTTTAAGCTTAAGGGAGCCCGACAACTTGAATACATATTCATCAATGTATGACTTCTGGCTCATGATTTATGAAAGTATTTCTTCTGACTCAAAAGGAGACTAAGCTCTACTACATTGTAATAGCTACTAAGAGTATCTGTTATGATAGATGATATTATTGCATGTTTGAATTACACATGAGCTGTCATTTCACTTGAATCAATACAATGTACAATACTAAATAATTTTTTTTTCTTGATACATAGAAGAAACGTTATTAAGTGTGTTATGAATAATGTGCTCGACCAAACGCAAAACGGACGATGACATAGAAAACAGAAGCTGCTAGAAAAAGGACACGTTGCATTGAAAGCATACAGACGTTGAAACCCATGTCACTTCAGTCCAAACCATTGTATGTAAAGATCAGATAATTCACATGTAACTTACACATGAGGAACGATAATGTCATCATTTTCAGCAGCTTGAGGAATCTTGGTTTCTCCACCCGTGTCTTCTCTAGCTGACTCTCTCAAACTTTGAAGTTTGGCGTCTTGCTGCTTTTATAGGGTGTGTCCCCATGGTGTCAACAGCACAGGTATGGGGCGGAACCCACATGAAAACACTTGACAGCATAATCCACGTATACTTACAAGCTATCGAACGAACTCAAGACCTTTTTATTCTTGCACGGATTTGTATATCCATGCATTTGTGAAGCACATATTCAAGAGCCCTTTTTCAAAATCACGTACGATCTATCATCATGTTTACTACCATGTTGACAGAACCATAACTATCATAAAAAGTGAATCTCATCTCTCCAAGCATGACATGAATAATTTGTTTCACAAGAAATATCCGATTTTTGTTATTATTAACAGTACATTGTTTAATATATTTATGACATACAACTTTAAAATGTTCGGTATTTTTCCATAACTAAGAATTCTTTTTCCTTGGTATAATGAGAAGATTTTATGGATCAATGAAGTTGAAAATGTATGAATCTTTACACGTTGTTTTTTGCAACAGAAAGGTTTAACCTGACTGCATTTGCGAAATATGTCCCAACGTAAATACTTCTGTATCGCGTGTATGGTATGTATTGTTGTTGTATACAAACAATTATTAATATACAAGTTGTTAGTATACAGTTAGTAATCCATAGCATATTTAGTTAATTTATATTTGTTAATTTACCCAATATTATTTTGGGTTTAAATATACATTGTATACTTTACGTACATGTATTACATATAGGACTGATTGAAACGGGACTGCTGTAAGTTTTGTTGGAATTTGACTGTTATATTTATCCCCTACAACTTGTCTTGCGGGAAGTATTAAAAGTATTCCGTCCGTGCAAGATGTCGTTTCCGGAGCAGATCTTGAAAACTGTGGAATATGTTTTCACCAAACTTGGTACAAAGATAGGTCTGGTGGTAAACTGGTGCCTATCGATAATTTGGGATTTGTGAAAAAAATATGGTTCTAGTTTCCAAGGCAACACGTTTCATATATTTATTCACGACATGTATTTACCTGTGCGGGGCAAATGCATGACTTTGTCCTCTTTTCTAATAACTACTGCACAAGGATTCTAGACATCAGAAACTATTCTTCCGTGGAATTATTTAGGCAGATGTCACGAAAAGGTTGAACGTCAAGGCCATGCGATAAAATGATCTCACAAAATGTTTATGATTACACTTTTTCAGTATGTATTAATGCAATGAACATTAAAGTCGGCATAAATACTATTCAAAGTTTGCTAAAGATCGTTTTGATGAGAATCCTAGCACATCGTTATCAGAGAGCACATCATTTGCTACAAAGGATTGCAACAACTGAATGCACTCTTGCCCCTTCAAACGTCAAAGACGTCGTTTGACGACCGGAAGGATTAGGCAGATGCATCGTCACGTTGCAAACGTCTTTGGTGTCAACCAAAGTTTGATCAGCAGGGCATGGAATCGATACCAGACATTTGGATCAGCTACCCAGCGACATGCAGGTGGTCAACACACAGCGGAAAGACAGGTGAATCCTGACTGCAGCAAGACGTCTTCACTTCGTGACTGCCACCACACTCGGAAGTGACCTGCGTAACGCCAGTTGCGTTAACGTTTCTGCTTAAACAGTTCGTAATCGTCACCATGAGGCTGGTCTACGGTCACGCATTCACTTCCCACTGACTGGTTTGGTTTGATCATGTCAATTGGACAGACCAGGACTTTGCTCAAGTATTTTTCACTGATGAATCGAGATAGTGTCTAGACTTCACAGATCGTCGTGCCCGTGTGTGGCGTAGACAAGGAGAAGATTTCAGGATTCCAACGTAGCCGAACATGACCGCTATTGTGGGAGCTTAATCATGATTTGGGGTATGGACGATAACGTACGACCTCATCGTGGCAGGGTCGTTGATGCCTACTGAGAGCAGGAGACCATTGTTCGCCAGCCCGATCACCATTTAACCCTATCGAACACATGTGGAATGAGCCGCAAAATTGCCCTCGCATGACGCCCTGTCCTTCCGACAACTGTAGAGGAACTTGGCAATACTCTTATTGAAGAGTGGAAAATCTTCCTTTGGCAACCATACAGACACTAATTGGGAAAATGAGACGACGGTTGCAGCCCGTGATCGCATCACGTAGATCACATACGCCTTACTGAGTGTTGTTTTTTAAGCGCAATGAATTGTTTCGTGATTTTTTTACGTTTACGTTTTGGTCAGAAACTCTCTTCATGTGTTTCTTGTTGGCATTGTGTGGCGTCCCTTGGTTGCGTCCCTTGGAGACGCCAGAAACCTTTGATTGTGGGTTCGAATCCCGGTTCGACAATATGACAATATTGTTTTTGACAATATGATACTGTATGTTTAAACTTAACTTGGCGATATTAGTCAAATCTCATGGTAAGATCATTGTCAGTTTCTGAGACATGATTATACATCTACAGGCATGGAACTTTAAATTTATATGTTTCCCAACACATCAAACGACAATTGCGTTTATGTCAAAGGTCCAGATGGCTAAAGCGTTGCCATGATGAAATGTTCATTTCCTGACTGCAATCGGTAACACTGATACAATAAAAGAGAGGGTGCAGTTTATGCATTGCGTTGTATGTCAGAATCATAAACAGAAAACACAAAGTTATATGTGCGTATATGCTAATTTCTAGTTTTATTGACACGGACATTTTGGATTTAATATTCAGTTGAATCGTCATTTGATAGAATCACATTGTTTCAAATCAACTTATGTTTTAAACGAACATCGTCAGTACTGCATGAATGAAGAATGCAAACATGTCGGACTTTGACAAATTTATGGGATTAACATGAAACAAGTACAACCCTGGAAGGATTTAGTACTCCACGTATTCCGTGGAGGCATAGCTTTACTGGGTCGTCAGTTAGGTGCAATGCTTAGAATTGATATCGCCTGACTTAAAATCGTCTTTAACACAGGCCAAAATCAAATCAATTTAACAGACATACCAAATTTTCTTTGACCATTTGTTTACATGAAAGCATAATCAGAACAGGGTGGATTAAAACTAAAAACACTTGCCTTTTGAAGTACCTATGAACAGACTTGATGGTTTTCTTTCCCTGGTTGTGTAAAATACGTAGGGTTTCAAAGGTCTCTTTGGTTGCATTTAAGAGAGAATATAAAAACATCTGAGCTCCTGTAAGGTAGATTTAGCCTAACCTGAACGAATAAAGATAAGGTTCGCCCCTTTGAACTATACAAATATGTATCCACTTGCATTAAATCCTTGGGTTACAGAAGAAAATTGAAAAAGTATTTTGATGTTAATTAAAATAATTATAAATATCTTTTTGACAATGTCAAAAACCCTCTCAACAGTAACTTTATATTACATCACCATGATGAATGAATACCACCTCTACGATTAACACTCAAGTGACAAGTTTTTTCGTATTAAAGGCCACATGGCCTAAGGTACAGCATGTATAATACAAGTATGTAGTGCGCACAAGATTTCATGCAGTATAATCAGGGGTTAAACAGGTAGAGTTCCTTTAAGATACAGAGTGTTTAGTTTGTGACGTCCATATTTTTATGACCTGTCCAAAATGCATACTCTAGAGGGAATAATTTACTGTGACCCCACCTTTCACCAAAGCTTATGTTTTGTGGTATTGATTGTTGACAGATTACATAGAATAAGGAGTATTATTTTTATTGAATTTCTTTAGAGGCTGTGGACATATTTAATCTACAATTTAAGAAATAATGTTTCACCAAAACGATATTTACTTTTTGTACGAAAAAAATCCTTTGAGAATCGTGAGCCTCAGATCAACCGGAAATAAATATGAATCTTGTATAATTCTCATATTTATTATAATAATAATAATAGCTTAATACTTGTGAAATGTATCTTGTATAATATTCCATGTTTTATGTTTACAACCATATTTTAAACTGTTGACATAAAATCATTTCTGTTGTAATGTATTAATGAGCAATTATGTTATAATATCTTATATTAGAGTTGTGCTTGCTGTGGGCAATAATTATATTAATTTTATTTAATATTTGGATATTGTCAACAATCGTACGAAATGTAGTCTTTTTTAAGTCAGGTCAAGTGGTGCGATCATTTCAGAATGCATTCAAAACAAGAATTCACAGAGGAAATCTGCTTGTCTTGTGAAATGACCTTGTCAAACTGTAATTATCTATCACGTCCCGTATTCTGACACAGTTGATAGTTTCATGACTGGCACAGCCACAATTCAAAATATCATCTTCGGCAGGTCACAAGATGAGATAACATTTTTTTTACACGAATATTTCTATTTATATTATATTTTCTTAGTTATTTTCATGATGTTTGTACTTTGTATGAGGCAGATTCATTTAGTGATATCCCGCCCGATTTTAATAAAATGTTGTTTCACTCTAGTGAAAGTATGGTTTCAGAAAATCATTGTATTTCATTACGAAATACATATTAAAAAGCTCAACTCCTGTCAACACCAATATCGAATGTTGAAGGAAGAGTGAAATCTGTATGTGTCATTCAAATAATGTCTACTCACTGTGTCATAAATTAAATGCATATGTTGTGTTTGTGACTGTTTGAATTTTAGACATCATATGAAGTGATGTTTTCAAGATTATTCTAAAAGAGCATGACAAAAGATTTTATTTGCAGAGTAATACATACTTTGAGAGAATATGCATAAGCATCATTTATTCAATAACAGAAACAGTCTCTGTTCAATTTCTATGTTGATTTTTGTCATCCCCCACCAAACTCTGACTCTGATTACTTAAAGCCACCTTCCCGGGGCAAGAGTATTCACTAGCATATAACAAGGATTAGTCATTTCAAGCCTACTTTTGTTCGGCTCTATCGTGGCGCCACCCCGTGTGGAACATGAGTTGTGTCCCTTGTGATGAAAACGCGATATCTGATGAGATTGCTCTTGTTAAAATATGTTTACTTCTAAAAATAACTTTGTATTTATGGCACAAATGTATATATAAACTGATGGCCAAAGGGAACGTCACATAGTTTTAAAACACGGTTAT